ATTCATATTCATATTCATATTCATATTCATATTCATATTCATATTCATATTCATATTCATAGTCATATTCATATAATTTGCTTTATTAACCATAATTTTGTTTGTTTTGTCGTTTTTCCCCAATCAGTCTACATGATAATTACATCGTGAGCTTGTTGCACAGTGTAATCATTAGTTAATTATACATACAGTGCCCAGGTCAACCGTTAATTCTATACAGTAGCAATTTGTGTTTGGTATAAACATGAATCCTTCGCAAGCTGATATCATGCTTAAACTATATTTTGTCTGTTAAGCTGCAGGATTAAGTAGCGGAGTGCGGGCGGTTTTCATAAATAACAAATATGCGCGCAACACTTGACGTATGAGTAATAATCGTGGCATATGCATTTATAATGCCAGCAGCAGATTAAAAGGTAAACAATGCGCCATAAAAAAGTGTAAATCAAAATGCAAACAAACTACAGTTGGGGCAACTTTAATACGGCCTTCAACACCCGCATCCGCACACACACAGGCAGAGTTATACATGTCGATGCACATTGTTGGAGCTGGGCAAGAAAGGTAGAGCAAAGGCAGGTGGCATTCGTTGTCGAAGGACGCACATTGTTGTTGCTGCTGTTGCTGCTGCTGTTGCTGTTGCTGTTGCTGCTGTTGCTGTTGCTGCTGCAGGCAATGCCTGGAAAATGTTGCATCAAATGCCGCTCCTAGGGAATTTAAAATTTGCCAGCAATTTGACCTGTGCCAACACAGCAAATGCTTCGCATGCCTCGAGCTAGGAAATTATCGTCTGCCAATTAGGAGCGCAGCCTATGAAAAGTTCTTCGGGCACGTTAACTTGGCGATGCTAAAAGCTCTATCTTCATACAGGTGTATGCAGGTGTATAAATAGCGAAAGTCTCAATTAAGTGTGCGCATCATTATCTGTAGCGGGACATTAGGATAGTATTAGGATTACTCAAATATTTACTGATATTTTCCCATATTCCCTTTTCTATTTCTCGTTTCAATTCGAAACTTTTTATTAATCATAAAAATGAATGAAACAACTATTAGTTATTCCTGTCACGCGCTCAATTGCCGTGCGTGCTGCAGTTGACGCATTTCTATTGCTTCATAAATAATTGGTCTTTCTTGGTGGCCTTGATTTAGTTATCAGCAGCTCGACTGGGCACACGTGGCGTATGCATAACAATGTGGGTAGAACTTTGAAAACTGAAGCCAGGATAGAAAAGTAATTTGATGTTTGTCCACTGATTGTCGATGCGATGTAAGACGACCTACAACGCCGTCGTCAATTGGGGTCACAAGGCTGACGGCTACGCTCGAGTGGAAGGGTCGGTAAACAAATCCTTAAAGGCATCCTGGCCTTTGTTGTTGTATCCTTCTATCGTTTGCTCTGCTTGCTCTCGGCTGAATGACGTCAGGTCCGCCTTTGATTTATGGACACGCAGTCAAGCAAATCGCATCGAATCTCAAACTAAATGCTACAAATTCTCAGCCAATTGCAAGGCCACGAAACTCAGTTGAGGGCGTGGCAGCTGTGAGAAGCGCGACAGTTGGCCGACTGATTGCGTGGCCATAAACGACAATAAATTGAGTTAATTAAGTGAATTACCCATGCACTATATACATTGAAAAGCTGATTACATCTAATGGCATTTCCTACATGCTGCGCTTGCGTTTTAGCATCTAGCAACTAGTCAAAGGAGTGTCCTTATGCCTCGCACAGCACTCAATTAGCGCCCGAATCACTTGGGAATTGTAAAATGTAATTTACTCTGGTATAAATAGTTTATGATTCATAAAAACCTTTGCAGCGCTAGTCAGTCGAGCGGGAGCCATGCATATAAAAATACTCTTAAAATATCATCATAAATGCTGAATTAGGTATAGGGTTGTATAGAAGCTGCATCCGTATGCCCAGACTAGTCAAGTCACTCACTTATATCATTATCTAGACACGGTACATGTAAATAGTAAATAAAACAAATCAGTTTCAAGCCTACGTATGTCAAGCTCTAGTTCTTATACCAACTTAAGACAGGGTATTTCATGCTCATCATAGTCATATCCACCTGTTGTTTTCTATTTTAGATGACCGCATGATGGCTCGGAAGCTGCCCCAAACGTTGACCTTCGTTTGGCTCTCGTTGACCCAAAAAGTCAACTTAAACACGAGTTGTCAACCCCTTGAAAACGTAATGCAATTTGCATTATGAAGCACGTTTCGAGTGTTTGACTCGCACACACACACACACACACACACTCAAGCACTCATACACTCATACATATGTATACATCACATTCAATATTTAAGAAACTTTTCTGCCTGCCCGGCCAACGCAGCTGTGGGGTTAAGCGTAAGCCTATTAAAGGATATGAGCCATATGAAAAGAATTTCATTTTCTGTTTTTACTTTTCCATTTTTTTTTTTTTGCAGGAAAAACGTATGAAAATTAAAGTTGTGTATTGAGTGTGAGTGAGTGGGCCTCTTGTGCGCGTCTGCTGATGATGTTTTCATAAAATGGCCGCAGGGATACATATAAAATACATGCAAAGCCAACAGAAGTTCGAGCGTTAATTTAACCAGAGCCAACCACAGTCAGCCACACACTCAAGTTGGCCAACAGGGCTATTAAATTAGCTACCAACTTCCAAAAAGGGCCGGAGCCAAGAGGCCACAGGCCAGGGGCGTGCAGTGCGCGGGCCTTTTTATTAATAGACATTATTATCGCCTCAATCTGGCGACAGGCTAAATGCGAATGGAAGCGAAACCAAGTCAAGAAAAGCAATTGGAGTGTTTGCCTTATGAATTATACACAGCTAACTGTTCCTTTAGGTAGTTCCAATAAAAAAGCCATAAATTCGAAAGGAACTGCTTGGCAGTCAGAGGGGATAGGGGATGTGGAAGTGGCCAGACCAGCGAGCACAGGTGCTTTGAAAGAAACACTCAAAAAAAGAAAAACAAATAATAATGTAATAAGAGCAAGGAACCACGCACGGAAATCGTTTGCAGCAGGTAAGGAAACAATTAAAAAGGCGAAAATTCAAATAGATCGACTACGAGATACTGCGGAAAGTAGGATTGTTTATGACAGGAGGGAGAGGTATTATAAGAAAGGTCTCAGTTTGTATATTATAAATATCTATCAATATTTATTTACTAAAATTTGATGAGTTTATGGAAGGGAAGATTGATTTATTTGATTTATTATATACAATAAAAGTGGCTTTAAATATTGCTTATTTAATTATAGACCTCTCAGATAAGTTGATATAAAATTTTAAAGAATTAACTAAAGCAGCTGAGTTTTTAAAGGGACCATCTTTTTATTTGTTAATTAATAGAGAACCCAACATTTGTTTATTGATAAAATTTATACTCTCAACAAC